TATGAAAAATTGATGAGAGTGAAATTTTACGATGCGCGCACCGTGACACAAAATTAACAGAATGAAGTTGCCCACGGAAGATGCTACGGCATTGGACATAATTTAAAAACAACATTCGAATAATAATAGAATTTATGTTACACTTAATGTAAGAGAATAATAATAAATAATTATTTATTTAATTTTTCAAATGTAAACTGAACTTTATTGACTGACTCCATTTCCAGTCTTTGATTATTTAATTGTAATTAATTATTTGCATGCAATCAAAAACTATTTTTAATAATGCCAAAGAAGTATAACTTCTTACGCGCGTACATAAGTACACGCACCCTTTTTTTTCTTGAGGATCTCAAGACGAGGCACTGACGATACACCAGGTGTACGCTGTGTAGTTCATCAACCAATCAAATATAGATGTTATAATTATGAAATGGAGATATAGAAATTCGAAATATAACTGAAGGAGGTGTAGTAAAACGTCACGTAACAAATCTGATAAGGCTGTCACAACTCTTCGCCTGATTGAAATTAAACAATTGAAGATCTTGTATCTGCCAATAGTTAGGGAGTTACGCCATTCAAGCAGATTATACTATCTAAAGTTGAAGTTGGATTATCAAAGCGAGATAAAACAGTAACAAGTGGTCATTCTATTAAAGATTATTATAAATACACACCACTTATTATAATAATCTTATTTTCTATTTCTGTACTTCGCGTACTTTAAGCCTCTGATTGACTCTGAATGACTCAGAACTGATTTTTAAGCCTATGTCTGCTAGAAGTGCCTTAGAGTTTCGATGATCGGTCAGTGAGTGAGAAAATTAAGAAACTTTGACTAGTTATAATTCTTGGTTCAAATTGAATGCAATTTGAATACTCTGTGTTTATACAAAGCCGGCTTGGTCACAGGCTAGTTTAATCCACAACGGACTTGTAGGCAGTGGCGTAACAATAGGGTGGCAGGGCAGGCAAAATGCCACGGGCCCCTGACCAAGAGATATTATGTTCTATGGATGAATGTGAAGTCTTCAATACGTATTGGAGCTAGCGTGGGGACTACAGACCATTCCCTCTCGCCTGAGAGGAGGCATATGGCCATTAGTGGGACATATACAATGTGTAATTGAGTACGCTGAAATCCTCGAAATTTATTAAAACTAAACTGAGTACATAGTGTCGATTTTTACTGATAGGGCCCAATCAAAACAATTTGCCACAGGCCCCAGATGGTATATTTACGCCACTGATTGTAGGGTTGAAAAGGGCCTGATCTATTTCAAGAAAATAAAAAAATAAATAAAGTACGGCCTTGCTACTTTTTTTAGACTTGGCGGGGGCTCTGCCCTGCCCCTAGATATTCAGAAACGAGAGCCCTAACTCTCAATCCAGTACGTTAATAATGTTGAATTTTGATATACGGAAGTCATATGAATTTCATCATGAATTTCACCCTAAGTATGCTTACTCTAAAATCAGTTTCAACAAATTATTAAACTTGAAAAGAAGTTAACTTGATATAAAATGGAGATGCACGCCATAGTCTAGGATTTGACCAATTTCAATTACGATATCAAAATCAAAGCTATACCTATACATATTTTAATTCGTTCTACTGGCTATTCGCGGAAATGAATAATCTAATGGAAAATACTATAACTGCTGTTGACGTATCCTTATCAGAGAAAATCTATTAGTCATAGGTGCTTGCTTTTGAACTTGGTTATCAGGTCGTAAAGTGTTAATTAAATTCCTTGTCAAGTACAATGTCAGCATTTGTTCCGGCAGTTTATAAACAGGCAGGAATATAATACTCACACGGCAACACAGCAAGCTCTCAAGTAAAAAATTAAAAAATACGCTACCAAGATTTTTTAAAATGGAATCTAGCTATTAATTAAAGTGCATTTACAGCCTGGGCTGTTTTGGCGAGTGTAACTGTAGCTCGGCCTTAATGGGCTTTCTCCCGCGACTAGCGCAAGGGCATCTCCTGCGAGACGGACCTCGGCATGGGCCGTCGCGGTCTATCAATAACACAATAAAATTATATACAGTCAAACCTAAATACGTGAGAACTCAAGGGACCGCGATCTCATCTTCTCTTATAAAGGTTTCTTACTAACCCGAGTTTCTAGCTTACAGGGTTACAGAAGGGGTCTGTCTCACATATAGAGGTCTATAATACTATTAAAAACAATAACAGGCGCAAGTGAGTATGAATGAGTCATAAATAGCAAAAGCTAAACGCGTTTAGTTGTCGCTTATAGAGGTATACGCAAGTATCAATATCACTTATAGAGGTTCACGCGTGAAAAATGAGTGTCACTAATCCAGGTTTCATGTTTCTCACTTAAGGGTTTTAAGCGGGCAAAATTACAGGACCCGGTTAATACTCTCATTAAGGGAGCGTTCAAGTATAGTAAAACGTTTCATGACCACCTAGTGACTCTTTATACGTAAAAGTTACCATTATGTGGTGTAAAGTACTGAAAAGTCGAAATTAATATTAACAATAATGCGTAATTCCATCCCCGTAACGTTTTACAAAAGGATGAAATTCGTTACGTAATACGTTATATCCCTAATAGAGTTTTCTCACTTACCCAGGTGTCACTTACTCAGGTTTGACTTATTGATAATTTTATCAAAATTAAACAATAAATAAGCGAGCCTTGAAGTTTTTTTTTAAAATTTTACAATACCAACCAATGAATTGTATAGTACAAAAAAGTATGTATGTTCGGATCATACAGCGTTATGAAGATTTTAAACTTGTATATGAAAATAATAGGGCCTTGAAGATGTCGATTAATAGATATCCTCCGTTGCGCAATGTAATATAATATTTAGTTTCTTTTGTGTGTAAATAAATATTAGAAGAGGAAATGAAATATCAACTTACCGAAAACATTGCACCATATTCCTGCTGATTTCATTCAGTTCTTGCTTCGGAAACTTCATTCCTCTATAAAAATATTAAACACATATCGGAATTAAACTCGTAATTATTGATAACTGTTTACATAATATCCAATAGCACTGGTAAACGTTATCAATAGTATTTGGCCATCTTAAACACACAATACAAATTGTCGTTGAAACGAAAACTTGGCGATTAAAAAGAGTGGCGGAGAGTTTATTGCCAGTTCTTCTCTTCCGTTCTACGTCCTTGATTTGAGAACTGGCAGTAAATGTAAAATTAGAAGCATTTAATGTATATTTCTTTTTTGACGTTCATAGGTGTACATTGTGTTACCTATATGAATAAATTATTTTTTCACTTTTAATGATAACGCATTATTTGAGCGATATATCGTTAATTAAATTTCATTAATATTAATTTTCCTGAAAACTAACTTCAAAACTACATTTGTACTGTGTAACTCTAGCTGATTTCAATTCGCGGTACGCGATCCCCAACTATAACTGCGGGAACCCCAACGCTATTGAAAGATAGAGAGTACCAGAACTGCAATCATTGCACTGCAAAAAATAACTTTTTTTTTATAGAACAGGTGGCCAACGGGCAGGACGCTCACCTGATGTTAAGTGATACCGCCGCCCATGGACACTCTCAATGCCAAAGGGCTCGCGAGTGCGTTGCCGGCCTTTTAAGAATTGGTACGCTCTTTTCTTGAAGGACCCTAAGTCGAGTTGGTTCGGAAATACTTCAGTGGGCAGCTAGTTCCACAAATTGGTGGTGCGCGGCAAAAACTGCCTCGAAAAACGCTCAGTTGTGGAACGGCGGATGTCGAGGTGATACGGGTGGAATTTCGTATTCTGCCTCGACGTATGGTTGTTCGGATTAGTACCTGCTGCAGGTATTAATCCGAACAACTCCTCTGAACAACAGCATATCGCAGTGGTGTTTCTTTGTTTGCATGAACCTTGCTATAATACTTACAATAACAATTTATGTGCTGCGATGTACCAGTCAATCATATGTTTTGTTTTCTCCTCTACAGTCATTATATGGTCCACTTCAATTGGCTTATATATGTCAGAGAGCCTATTATCTTCATCCTTATATATTTGAGGCACTGAAGGACAATCTTTAAACATACCTTAAAAATACATGTAATCTTATTTGACTGAGCTTTAGCAAGCAAGTATTAAGATGTAATATTTTTTTTACTATAAATATTTCAAGTCATGCATGCATTTATTCAGTTAAAACAAAAATATTTATATATTAGTCTAAAATATTTAACATAAAGTATAGGATTGCTTGTTGCACCTGTAAATATTGAATATTTAAGATGACTAATTTTGATAACTACATAATATATCTTTTTTTTAAATACATCTGGGTCAGATGTTTGGCCACATTCCCTCCTGATGTTAACTGAGATTTGGACTATTGGTGGACACCCCTGTACAGATGCCTGTTTAACTGTAGCTTAAATGAAGCCATATTATATATACATATTATATAATATATATACACACAACTTTGTGAGAACATAAGTATTATATAATACATTGATGTATTGATTTTTTATTGTTATCAAAGCTATTTAGTTAAAATTATATTAATTGATATTTAATTATGTGTGTTTTAAGTACACAATTAAGATATGAAAAATTAAGTAAGTAAATAATAATTTAATGACAATTTAAATAGCCTTATGCTGTAATGGATTTGTAAATATAATTAAAAAAAGAACTCTAATGACTTGAGAAATTATATTTTTATCTATGTTTTCTTTTGCCGAGTAAATTAATCTAAATTCTGAACCTGCTGAAATTTTATGATGAAAAATAGTGACCAATGGGACATAGGGACATATTTGTCATCTACATATTCAATATTCTATAAACATTCATAATATGAAGAATATAACAATGTTTGTCAAAAAAGTATCGTACATGACATGACATCTCCATACATATCAAAAACTGTACATTGAAAATAAAAAGTATGTATTTTTAATTTTAAAAATACAAACAGTATTAATCAATACCAAAGTTGCAGTACTCATAAATAAGCTTCCTCTTCACACTCTCAAAATATAGTATTTCATTTGCATACAAAATAATATGTCATGGATTTAGTAGTTACGGGAAAACATATAAAACAAACATTGTTGATGCATGTTTAACTCTGTGAGAATATACTCTGCAAGACAAACTTTTTAAACCCCTTGTGCCAAATATGAGAAAGAATAAAAACGTAAAACACAAAGGCATGGTTTAAATATGTGTGAGGAATATAATAAGCACTCCATATTTACAAATAGGGAAGTACCTAGATATGGATTGCTGCTTGCAGTATGGCAAGTTTACAAGAAATTACCAGCATATCTATATAAAATTAATGAAGTACTTTTCATTCATACATATTTAATAATAATAATTTCATCTTATAAATCATATTATAGCTATGTAGAAAGAATATATATTGCATTAAAGAACTGTATGTATCTCAGAAAGAGGTAGTACATATACCTGACCCATGGAACAGTGAAAATTAACTTATATTTAAATGTTAAGATGAGATACAACAGCTTACTTTCACTGATGACATAACATTGAAGTTAATTTATTATATATGTATAAAGTAAACATTTTTATAATTCAATCAAGTGAACCCAAAACTACGACTTATTAATATTTGGTATACATATTTAAAAAATATACAGTTTAAGAAAGTCAAAAGGACTTTTGAAATTTGTCAATATGGTCAAATAATTTTGCCACTTTGATTCACTTGATTGTGATAAAAAAAAATACTCACCAAAACTAGTAAGAACAATTTTTCCACTATCCATCTGGTGTCTAGTTAAAGTGTGGTCAAAATCGGTTACAATTTGCAGCTTGCTGTGTCCATCTTTCAGGATGCTGTTGATTTTCTCCAAAAGACCATCCTTATCCTTGATATGAACATTTGGCTGGGTTAGCTCAGGTATGTCATTTACAGTCGTTAAGAACTTCATAGCTGGAAATATAACACCACATATATTCTTAATATAAAGTAAATAAATACATAAAACATAATCAGCGACGGTCCTAACTTTTAATATAAAGATAAATTTTATTAATATTCGAATTAAAATAAATACCTTAGCAGTACTATTTAAAATATAGCTGTCCCCAGAATAAGTATTTAAGGCAAGCTCCACGTTTATTCTGCACAATTTTGCAAGTAGACGAAAATTTATAACATCGAAATTGAACACCCAATTTCGAATTATTATGTCAATGTTTAATTTTGATTACAAAAATATATTTCTGTCATCTATCATCTGTCATTTGTCAAACCAATACTTCGATACATCGAGGCAGACACTTAAAGTATACATCTGCGAATTTTCTATGGTCCGTACTCCTTTATAACTAAAGTATGGTTGACACCATTGAGTAAATAATATATTATAGGAATAGGATAATATAATAATAGATTTAGAAACCACTAAATTTACTTATCTGCCCACTAAATTGATAACAATGATAGTGAAAATGGCAAACTAATATCATTCTTATTTGCTACGCGTCATTTAATTAATTTTTTTCATATAAGGGGTGGGCTGATTCCAGTACGTCAAAAATTAGTCGATAGACCGAGTTCGCCCGGAGTCTCCTTTTACCTAAATCTAACTCTAATATCCCTTAATTTCGAACAATAATGCTGCAACAGTGTTGTTGCAGCATTATTTTAATTCTATCCAAAATATGCCCTTTTTAATGTTGTAGTGAATTTTCTAGAAACAAAGTTAAGTGCGCAAGTGTATATACCTGTTACGAAGTAAAACTAGATAGTAATTGCCATCAACCTTTATTAATTCTTATACCTCCCATTTAGTAATTATCATAGAACAGTCATTTTTATTTTTCACAAAGATGCAAATTATTATGCAAAATTATCATGTAACTCTCTGTAAATCTTAAAAAAGGATAAAATAAACTAACCAAATAAGTTTAATTACATAATAGATTTTCTATTAATCAAAACAACTAAGCAATTTGCTCAATATGTAATTCTTATATCAAAATAGTTTTACACTTAATTGTTTTTACAATTGGACATAAAAATTATTAAATCTTAGAACAAATCAGCGCATTTCAAATCAGTTATAAAAAAATAGTAAACAGTGCAAAATTCCCAAGTAGTAATACATGAAATTATTAATAAAGTTCCAAGCATCAATCAGCAGAGAAAAAAATATTATTCAAATGTTTCAAAATACTACTGTTTAGGTAAAGGATTAATTTGAAACTGGCAGAAAAAATTTTGTGCTACAAACTAAATCACGAAAAATGTGTTAAATCAACATATTTGTTACGTTTAACAAAGCTAAGATATTTGCTATAAATTATACACATATATTAAAATATACAATTTATACACAATAAGCATAACATATATTACAACATTTAACAGCATACTCTCAAACTGTTTTATATCACTTATAGTACACCAAAGCACAATTTGACATTAATTAAAAGTATCAAAAGAAATGCTATATGACAAATGTTTCAATGGGTTTTAGACAGTTCAATACGCCGCCATTATTTAAAAAAAAAACAAAAAAAACAGTTATCGGCGGTAAGGAAGAAGAAAGTCAGACTTTAAAAATATTGTGTAAATAATAATGTAATTAAGACATTGTACAAAGATGCCTTTTTGAGAGTATACGAAAGCATTGGTCCAAATTAAATTGTAAATGGATTGCATTAATCGTCCGATATCCGTCTCTTGCCTTTTTTCTTTTTTTCCATCGCCTCCATTCTCATATCCTCCAAGTCTTCCATGATACCTGAATATGAAAACATAAAAATATTAGTTTTTAAAATATTTATTCACATGGGTTACGCAATATACATTTATGAATGTCAATAAAAAACAAATAATGCTTTTAAATTCAAAACAAGGGCAAAGAACAGTGGAACTGAAATAATATCATTTTAAATCCCCTGCCAGTGTGAACAGTACCATTTTTTATGACGAGTATGGGCGTAGTATACTGTGTATTAAAAAGGGATGTGATGAGTAATTTTTTTTAATTTTCGTTTTATATTTTTAGAATATTGTATGTTCGAATTTGTATGTAATTTGGCGTCATGTCGTAAAAAAGCCCACTTTTAAAGACACCGACTACTATGATCGTATATATTATCCACACATACAGAAAGTATATGTATGTGTATCCCACCTACAAAAATATAATGTTAGGTCAAAAACCTATTACATTGTATTGTATTATAAAATAGTTAATTAGGTTTATTTCTGGTATATATAAATATACTAACCGATCTTTTTAGTTATATACTCTTCACGCTGTTGTCGAGCAAAACTAGACTCCATGGATGGGTCATCAGCATCATCCATGTCTCGATATCTTGAAAAATAAAAATATACATTTTGATCAAATAACGTTTTTGTCTATTTAAAGTTCGTCAAATAGATAAATTTGTTCCTATATATTTTTTGTTACAAATATTAGGATAGTGCTCGACAGTTCTAAGATATTTTAATTGACATTTTATGTCATCATATAATATTTTGTCAAAATTATGGTAGTCTATATATATGGAAATATTTTCCTTATATACATGGCTATTAGATACATTCTATTTAAGTAAAATTAAGCTTTCCGAGAGGAAACATACCTTCTAAAGATTGCTAAGCGTCTGCTGAAATGGTAACATTATTTCAGGAAAGTAACTTACCTGGATTTATCATATCCAAAGATTTCTTTGATGGCGGAGGAGTAGTCTAACTCAACATCGCCATCGTCGATGAAGTCATCCATTTCAGAGTCATATTCCGAGTCAGAATCTACCATACGACCTGTTTTACAATAAATTGTATTTAAGCAAATCACGTTTTCTTTACAGAATAAGCTACCAATGTGTAAGGTTACTTATGACAACAAAAAACTATGGACTATTTTTTGTAACTTATGTACTTAGACACAAAAATTTCAAAGTAATTCATATTGTTATGTTTTTGCTACCCAATCCCTAAATCAATTATTTAATTTATTGAAGTTATATTCTTTAGGCGCGTTATGAAAAATTGATGAGAGTGAAATTTTAAGATGCGCGCGCACCGTGACACAAAATTAACAGAATGAAGTTGCCCAGGGAAGATACTACGGCATTGGACATAATTTAAAAACAATATTCGAATAATAGAATTTATGTTACACTAAATTTAAGAGAATAATTATAAATATTTATTTATTTAATTTTTCAAATGTAAACTGAACTTTATTGACTATAATGACTTCTTTACCAGTCTTTGATTATTTAATTGTAATTAATTATTTGCAAGCAATCAAAAACTATTTTTATATAATGACTCCTTTTCCAGTCTTTGATTATTTCATTGTAACTAATTATTTGCATGCAATCAAAAACTATTTTTGATAATGCCAAAGAAGTATAACTTCTTACGCGGGTACATAAGTACACGCACCCTTTTTTTAAATCAAATATTTATCTATTTCTTTGTAGAGAAGTTATTATTTCTACTAAATCTTTTTATGTGTTTTAATTCAATCAACTACCTACTACCACTTTTTTATATAATCAAGTCCAAGTTGAAAGAAATAAATGATTTTGTTTAGCACTATCTAATTTAGTAATAACAAATGACTTACGTTTTTGCTTCATCTTATCACTAGATTGCTGTTTCCTCCTATTATCACTGGGAGGAAGTTTCTTCCCACCATTCCTAACAGCTATAGAATTGACATGTTGGTCAAAATCAAAACCAGTGACAGGTTTACTTGAACCACCCTGTTTCGTTCCCTGTATAGATTTCTTATCATCTCCTTTTTTGAGACCTCTGCCTGCTTCCGGTAACCGTTTCCCGTTTTCTTGTTTTATTTGACCATTTCTAGGACTACCCTCTAATGGTTTCTTTGCTATGGCCATTTTATCTTTCATATTTCTATCTAAGCCCTCTTTACTAAGTTTTGGCACTAGCTTGCTCAGCGAGCTATGACCATTGGAAACTCTATCCTGCTTTTGTGGTAAGAGCTTTCTGTCATTTTTATCTATCCTGTAAGTATTTTGGCTCTTTAAATCTATATTCTTTTTAGCTTCTTGTTTTATTGGCTGCTCCTTATTCAACTTGGATCTATCTTTACTTCTATCTGAAGATATACTTGTTTCTAATTTTGCCTTAGTTTTGTCCAACCTCTCTCTATCTTTGTTAAGACGCTCCATTTCTCTTTCAATTCTGTCGCGTTCTGCTTTTAATTTATCTAATCTTTCTTTATCCATTCTATCTTTTTCACGATCAACTTTATCTCTTTCTAACCTAGCTTTTTCCTTTTCTTTCTGTACTCTTTCTGCTTTCTCTCTTTCACAGTCTTTCTTTTCTCTCTCGTGACTTCTTGGAGGATCACTTTTAGGGACAGCTCTTTCACCAACTTTCGGAATTCTACCAAATCCTGTACTAGTTGGTTCAGGTTTTCGTTCTTTATCTGCTGGCTTATCTGCTTTTGGAGCTGGAAGTTTTTATGACTTGCATTAAATTTCACACATTTAAAAAAGAAAAATGCTGAATTTAAAAACTATTACTAAAAACCATAAAACCATACCTTTTTGCCCGGCCTTTGCTGCTTCAATACGTTCCTGACGTCGTTGTCTTCGTGCCATTTCTTCCTCATACTCCCTCTTTTGTTTCTTTGTCATGAGTCTGTCAGGCTCAGGTTCCACAACAGTCTTTTTTGGTGCACTAATACCAACAGGTTCACTCTTCTTTTGTTCCGCAAGCTTCAACAATTGATTGAAGTCCATTGGTGGAGGGGCTGGTCTACGAATTTTAGGTTTATCTGATTTCTTGTCTTTCTCTTTTTCTCTTTCAGGTTCATATTTTTGAGGAGGACTGGACTCTGAAAGATTTTTTAATCTTATTATTATATATAGAAAAGGACATGTTTAGATAGAAACAGCAGAAGACAGAATTTTATCATCCCAAGGCCTTTCGTAAAATTAATTACTTTAGTATCATTCCTTACCACCATTTTCAGTACGACGCCTTCTCTTATGTGGCACTGGATCATCTTCATGGCGGAGAGCATGTTTGACTCTTTCTCTTGTACCATGTAAATCCTTGGGAGTTGAACCGCCTAAAATACAATATGTAGTTGTTTTATAGTGTAAAACAGGATATTGCACATAATAAAAATACATTCATAATAATAACTTAAGATATGTTATGGGTAGGGCACAATAGAAATATAAACTGTCCCTGAAGTTTAGAAATAGAAATTTATATGTACTAACCATTGAAGACTATCATTTAATATTTGAAAATTTGTGCTTTTGTGGTGGAAATGACATGATACAATATTTCCTAACACAGAACTAAAATGTTTTTTAATTATTTTATTTAGTAATATTTTATCAATGGTAAAATTGTATACAACTTACTTGAATTAGGGAATTTAGGTTCATCTGGAATTTTACTATACTTTTGCATCATTTTCTCATATATTGCAGCAGCTGACTGGGATTCATACCCATAATCATCTTGATCTGGCTGATCTGGGCCTTCCCGAGTAACAGCTGTGTTATCTCTATCAAAAGCATCAGCAATGACAGACTTATTAGCGGATTTAATGACCTTCAGTGTTTTTTGAATTTTGCGCAGGGCCTGAAAGTTCAATTTACAATTTTGTCTTATTTAATATTTAGTAAATTAGAAAGAACATTTAAAATTGCAGTAGATTTTGAGTTTAGTTATTACAACAATCAAAAAAACAAATGTTTAATGCCCTGTATTACAAAGTAATCTTTATTTATATTAATTCACCTTAGGATCACGCATAGCAAGTAATTCGTCTCTCTTTCGCTGCGTATCCAGTTTTTTCTGCCGTTCCTCTTCATCTTTCTTAGCAAGAAACTTTTGTATATTGGCAGATAATCTATCTTTTTCCCTTTGTTCTTTTTTTGGTGGATCAAACTTGGCCTTGTAATAATAGTTACTCTAAAAAGAGGAAAACTATTGTAAAATATAAAGGTTATTTTAAAAGCAAGTGATTACAGAGGACATTATACTTAGCTATAAAGAAAGATATAGTAAGACTAATTAAAACATTATCAAGTTTAAAGAAACAATAATTATTGACTGGTAAAAGTTGTATTCACATTTGAGAAAATTACTCAGGAAATATTTTAAAATTAGAAAATTTTAGGTCGCAAATTATGATCGAAATACTCACAACAGATGACTTCTCTTGTTGATTTCGCTGAGCAGCTAATAGGGTTTCACGAAACTCCATGATGAATATTTTATAATGGATGTATAGAATCAGTAACTCAAAATAAGGGCATGATTAAGTTTTTTGAGAAATATTTACGATGTAGAGCGAAATTACGTGTCAACTTCGACAAACAACCCAACCATTTTCTGGAAACGTACTGAGCAAGCACAGATACAGTTTTCAATAAGTTCATTACTGTGGCCATTCATGACTCATAAATGTAAAAATGACAAAAAGAACATAGACTATAATATTATGCACCATTTCCATGTTATGTGCTCCTTACTTATTATTCTACTGTCTTTACCTTTCTCCGCCATATTTGCTAATTTTCATACAAATGAAGGAAATAAATTATTAATACATATTTCATGTCATTAGCTCAGGCTTTGTTACATGACTATACTCATTACTGATTACTCATACAAATTCGTTTTGCCTATTCGAATGACGTAACATGCTTATAATACTATATAAATAATGTCTTCGTCTGTCTAATCATGAATATCGTAACTTAATACAAATCGTAGAATAATAATGATATAAATATCGTAACTTAATACAAATCGTAGAATAATTTCGTAACTTAATACAAATCGTATATGTTAATATCGTAACTTAATACAAATCGTAGAATAATAATGATAGAAATATCGTAACTTAATACAAATCGTAGAATAATAATTAACTCGTAGAAAATTCAACATTTGTAGTGTGTTTTAATTGAATTTCTCAAACCAATACTTAACATAATTAAATACAACAATTTGTAAAGTCAGTAATAAATAATGTATTATTAACGACCAACGACACCATTATTAGCGGCCAGCTTCAGAGTTATCTAGAGGGCCACCAGCTGATTAGCGATTATCAGTACGGCTTTTGTCGTCGTCGCTGGGCTGGTCCCTCTTGCATACCTTACAAGTTACACATATATAGGCAGAGCCAATTAAGTTCAAGGGTGCCGCGCTACCAAGGGAAAACGGTTATAACGCGCAAATTTGGCCCCACATAGAGTACTGTGCTCACCACCGGGTGGGAGCTCCTTCCAATAGACCGTATTCAACAAAGAACGGTTCGAATCGTCGACGACATCGTCAATCTTTTTCAGAGCTGCTTTATCCCTTGGCGTTGCGTAGAGATGTGAGGGCATCTTCTACCGCATTTACCATGGAGAGTGGTAATTTCTCGTTAATACCTGCAGCTGACTTTCATTATCGAACTTAGAGGCAGAATACGAAATCGCACCCGTCCCATCACCTCGCGCACCACCACTATGTGGAATCAGCTGCCCACTAAAGTATTTCCGAATCAATTCGGCTTAAGGTGCGTATTATATGAGATAATTTATTTATTTATTTATTTAATTATAAGTAATCTTACAGCTAACATACATAATATTATAAAACAAACACTTAGACAGTACAGAAAGCCAAAACAGATTACATAGATAAACAATATTATATACGAAAAATAAAACAAATAAGCACATAAATAGATAAAACCATATAAAGAAAACTGAAATTTAACATTATAATAATCATAATGAGAGTGTCCATGAGCGGTGGTATCACTTAACACCAGATGAGCCTCCTCCCCGTTTGCCTCCTGTTCCATAAAAAAATTAAATCATTTTTAAAATCTTGTCAAATAGCTTTTTATAGTACGTAATGGCACCTTTACTTCGAATCATTTCACATAATATAGAGACATTATGCGGAAATTGACGATGTAAACGATTTAATTTAATTACGACCAAATTAAACGATTTCAATAGAAACTGAATTATTATCCTTGTTCTTGAAGCTTTTTTTAAGTCGACTAAAAAGTAAAAACCTAAAGCGACACCATTGTTATAAAAATTGTAGTTGACATGCATACATATTACATACATAGTACATAATGATATACATAATAAATAATGACAATTTACCTTTACCAAGTGCCACAATTTACATTGACATCTGACGTTCGTTTAACAAGTATAACGTATACCTACTTCTCTTTCTTTTCAACTGTTGTAAATTCTTGACGAAAGCCGAAAATATGGTTGGTGTTTACATTTGTGTTTTATCTAATAAATTCTATGAAATCTTAAGGAATTTAATTAATTAAAGCCTGTACGAGTGCTGTGTTATGTAGTGTGTGGTTATATTCATGAATATTTTTTAAAGCACTAAGGTGTATTATGGGTATTATGAGTATTTTTTTAACCTATTACTTCTTGTACAGGCCACCTCCAAAAAGAAGACTAGGAAGTTAAGAGGGCATGTCAGTCATGGACATGGTCGTATCGGTAAGTTTCTATGTTCACAAACTAAACGATTGAAAACATAACTTAACCTAGAAAATTCTATCCGTGCTGGAAAATACTCGTGAATTTGTAATGATTAATTATTGCTTTTAGGCAAACACCGTAAGCATCCTGGTGGTCGCGGTAACGCTGGTGGTGAACATCATCACAGAATTAACATGGACAAGTACCACCCAGGTTACTATGGAAAGGTAATTTTATTATATATTCAAAACTGTATATTTTGTTTAAAAAGCAATTACCAAGAATATTTAAGTATAAAATTGAAAGTACATGAAATAACTTGTGTGTTTAAAATCAAATCATATTGATATAGGATCATATGTAAATGCTAGTGAACATATTATTATCTTAAAAGCTTGTGTTTCAATTTTATGGCCCGTGGTTACTAATTACATATTAACTTGTTGCCGATTTAGGGCACATATAATTTCTGAGGATTAGTAAACTCTTAAAGTATATTATGTCTTAGTTTTAGTCTTAGTTAGTTTAAGTTATTCTGTAATTTATTGGTTTTATGTATTAATTAATATTTCTTTTTTAAATTTCAGCTTGGTATGAGGAACTTTCACTTAAGAAGAAACAAAATATTCTGTCCTGTTTTAAATTTGGACAAACTTTGGACACTTGTATCTGAACAGTCCAGACTCAAGTATGCTAATGCTACAGATGGAAAAGTTCCAGTCATCAACATTGTTAAAGCTGTAAGTAATGATATATATCTTACTAGAAAGTATGTTTGTTAAATCTTCTTAATATATATAAATTATGTGTCACGTTGTTTGTCCACTACGGACTCCTAAACTTCTAAACCCATTTCAATCAAATTTGCACACCGTGTGCAGTTTGATCTAACTTAAAAGATAGGATAGCTTACATCTTAATTTATACCCACAATATATTTGTTTATTATTTGATAGTCACAATTCTAACAGATGGCGCTGTGTTAAAAGTACCAACCTTTCAAATAAGCTACAATTTAATGGCATTACATATACAATTGGCCAAAAAAGCATGGTGGTCCCCATGACTGGTGTTCTCCTACCGTTTCCCTTGAATAGGTTACTACTATGTAATATAACTAAAACCTTAGCCACAGCAACGCTTGGCCGGTCTGCTAGTATTATATAAAGATTTAAATATGAGTGAAACAGCAATAACTACTTTCGTCTTGTTCAATCTATTCTCTACTGTAACTATTATTACAAAAAAGACATCATGTAAGAATAATAATTATAATTACAGGGTTACTACAAGCTTCTAGGCAAGGGCAATCTTCCCAAGCAGCCAGTCATAGTTAAGGCCAAGTTCTTTTCCAAGACTGCTGAAAAGAAGATCAAATCTGTTGGTGGAGTCTGTGTATTGTCAGCGTAATTTAAGTTTACAATAAATTCTAAGAAAATGTACTCGACTTTTAAATCAAAATTCATTGCATGCCAGCATTGGTGAATTTATTCAGCATAGTAAATTTATGATTTCTACCAGTGTTGTGTACAAACTTACTCGTGAAACAACATTTGTATCAAGTTAATGCAGGGAAAATTTATAATAGAAACACCTGGTATCTGCTATTACTCAAATATGAAATATATTTGTTTACAATTAATAGATCCAGAACATTGAAATAAAAATGCATGTTTTCAATTATTTTATTAGTTACACATGTTAATTTTAACATAACAAAGTAAAATACATTGCAAATAAATAAATTTTAATTTATAAAAATATCAGGAAGTTACATTATATTTACTACACTATTGATGCTATAGGTAATTAAGCTAAAATCTATAGAACATCAAATCCTATCTTGTGTTATTAGATATGATATAATCAATGTTGTTAAACATTATTGCTACTTAGGCACTAATAGGCTACATGCTTGCTACATGGTAAGACATTTGAGTGTGTAGAATGTACTTAATTGCCTACCAAAAAATTAATGTCAAAATGTAAGGAGTTTTGACATAAGTGGTATTATGATACATAAGTACTGACAATAATTATATATTTTATGAGATTACTTAAACAAACCTACAAAGGTAAACTTAAACTAGTAGTTTTCACAAGATTTTTATCAGTCAAGAGAGATATCTTATGTGAATATAGTTAATGTGTGTGTAGCTCTCAGCTGTTGGTGAGGGGGCCTCATCATACCAGACTGTTCAGATTTGATGGTTGCTTGTTCAGTTTGTGTTTGAGCAGTTTCCTGTGCCCGTGGAATTTGCTTTGCCTTCTTTCTGGCCGCGTCACTCTCTGCATAATACATACCAAGTCTTGTTTTTATAGCTGCCAATGCTGCTCCATTTATTTCGTCATGAAATATATTACTATATCGCCACTGTTTAACAACTGGACCCTTTTTTCTTTCTTTTTTGAGCTTCTTTGATTTACTAGGCATTTCAGATATTTCAGTTTGTGTCTCAATGTATGAGCCATTAGTTATAGCTAGCTTATCTTGTGAAAGATCAGGTTTAGCCTGTAGTAAAATAAAAGCTGTAGGTTGAGCAGGTCTGTTAACTGATTGTAAAATAATACCCATTCCTTGTGGATGTTGACCACTTTGAGCAGGATAAAAATTTGTAGGTGTTGATGTAGTTGTCAATTGTGTTTGATACTGATTTTCAAAGTAATTTTCTGCAATATTGACTAGGTGGCTATTACCAGGATATGTTAAAGGTGTATAAGTCTCTTGTGGGACTGGAGCTGGAGCTATAGGTTGAAGTGGCTCATTTTGAACAGGTAATATCTCCATATTTCTTTTAGATTTAGGCATAGTTGCAGTGATATTGTCAGGATCATAACTTTTTATATAATCTTTCCACATTTTAGAAATATTAATTTCAAGGCCAGCAATTTTGTCAAGTCTGATAAAATCTTTCAATCTGTGAGTGTGAACTATTGAGTAAATATGATTTTTTATTTGGTCTACAATACCTATAGGTAAACGAACTTCTCCTGATCGTCTATGGCTGTTCTTACCTCTATTGTCACTTGGAAACATAATACCATCATCCATTTTCTTGCAAAGAACTCTAACTTTACGCTCTGTTATTGCATGTATATTTTTGAAAGCTGTTTGACATACTTGAGTTTCTTTACCCTTAACTCGGACAAAATATTCAAATGTGCATGTTCTTCTGCTGCTAGATTTAACTCTTTTTCGTTTCACATCAATTTGCCGCATTAAACCAAATAAATATGCATTTTGTTCATCATGACTTTTCATAGAGTAAAACCCTTGAAATGTTTTCATACGAATATCCTCTGGTACCATTTGAAAACATTTTCTACGGCAATTGCAATCTGGGCCAGGTTGTTTAGGGGGTACAATTTTCCCATTGGCATTTATATATTCTTGTCCAGCTATTCTCAAACGCTTTTGTTTTTGTTTGTGCCATTCTAAAAAAGGAATAATATTAGATAACACACTTAAAAAAATATATCATGTAACTAATTTATTCTTTATAAGCAATAACAATGTTTATATTTCATAGACTAGTGCCGAACGGATTCAAATTTTGTGGTGTACGTATCAAAATGTAGTAAGAGTCAATAGTATTGTAGTTCTACAACCGCCTTATAGTCAAAACAACGTTCTCTATAGCTATGAACAAATGCAATTATGTGTCCCTATATACGAGGCAATAAATAAATAAATTACCTTCAGGATTTCTTAAACGTCTTTTCACAACTTTGCCGTTTTTAGTAAGTTTTACTTTACGCTCATTGCTTTGGACATCCGCCATTTTAATATCAGCGTATAATACGATTGTGTTGGGGTAACCACATAAAAAAATACCCCGAATCAAATATTTTTTACTTCAACAATTAACGAACGTATTAGTTAGGTAGTTTATATATTTAGTTCAATATTATCTTTTAAATATTTACATGTAGAATGAAATAATAATATGAGTATTCTGTTTCAATTGCTATTTATATCAAGCTGTCGAATATTTAAGTTCTATTGTTTTTAAGTTTGCCAAGTATAGTGTAAAAAAGAGTATACAAATTAGTTTGGCGTTATTGAGCAACACCTGTCGAAAAATGATTTAGTCTAGCCTCATAGACACTATTGCCTTGGCCCTTGACTCTTAAGCCGGATCCAGACTCTTGCGAGGCGGCTTGTCGAGGTGCTCGGCACGAATGTTGGCGATTGGACTACACTAGTGGTAGCCATCCACACTCTCTATTTATAAATTATTTAGTTGCTCGCTACATATACTACAAGATGGGCATGATTGGAGTAACTGCGTTAGCTATTTTATGTGCCTACCTAACTCACGATTCCAGGACAAACAATTTATTCAAAAAATATCTTAAACCTTATACAAAACCACACCATACGCGATTCAGCATAATCAGAAATCGCACACGCCTCCGTTGGTGAATTTCAGAACAAACAATTTATGTCATATATTACGTTGGACATCCGCCCACCATGGACGTATGTTATCTTCCTACACACTATGAAATAACTTGTTAAACAAGTGGACTGTAAAGCGAATGGTGCATAGATGTGAGGTTAAGTCATAGTGATCAGGATTAAACTAAAACTAAACAAAACATACAAAAAATAATAATACATTAGCTTAGTGCAGTGGTTGTATCAAATTCTAACAAAAATATATCAACTTAACAATAAGATAGATGAATCTTTTTAAGATACAGTGATTTTTTTAAAATGAATATCAATTCAAATATGATAGGAGATGTTGTCGTACTAAACAGATACACGTTTGTATTGCGTTACTATACATTTAATCACAAATTTAAAATTCAAAACAACTCTCGGTATTGATAATGAAGTTATCAACGAAAAAAGGTTCAAACTAAAAATAAAAAAAAAAAGTTCGTACTACATGTGACAAAGGTAAAATAAACTCCAAATTATTTCAGACAGCTACAGGTAAAATACTATTTTGGTAATTGGGCGTTTTATTATGACACCTCTACCTTCAATAACAATCTCTGAGTCCATCAACGTATGCTTCTCAGTATTACTCCCAACAACCATCTCCTGGAGGCATATCGTCCTCCTTGATTAATGCTACATCACCAATTTTTGGTTCTGGCGTAACGTTAGCCCACTTATACCGGTGCAAGAATTGTGTCAAATATTCGTGTGACCACCTTCGCCAGAACACTTGAAGCATTTTTTGAATTATTTGCCAGCGATGAGATTTGAAATGGAAGAATTTTCATAATTCTTATCGGGTACAACAGAACGGTTCGCCGACTAAGAAATGTCCAGGGGTAAAGGAGTCGGATCCTGAGGATCGCTACTAAGTTGAGACAAGGGTCTCGAATTAAGACAAGCTTCTATCTGGTGCAACAAGGTAGTATCTCTTCTAGGTTAGGGTTCGCTGCCTATGATCTGAGATGGTGCTTTGTAGCTCTTATTCCACTCTCCCATAGTCCGCCAAAGTGTGGAGCGTGGGGTGGGATAAAATGCCATTCCGTTCCATTGTCTCCAAACTCTTAACGATTTCCATCGTCAAGTTTGACCTTTCTCCAGCAAAAAAATCTTAGTTCTCCGCAGCTCCCCAAAGTTGGTCCCATTGTCGCTAAAAGTTCTGCGCAATGACCGTCGAGCAAAACGCTTGAAAGCAGATAAAATCCTTCGATGTAAATCACTAAGGCTTCAGATGTATCGCCTTCGTAGCCATACAAACGAACAAACAAATGTAGCCTTTGTAAGCTCGGTGTCCTCTTCCTTAGTTGTTCGAATCTGATAGGACCAGCTATCTACACCACTTTGGTAAAATGCACGAATTGGTGTAACTCGTACCGGAGGTAAGTGGCCCATCAGCTGAGTCCTAGTTTGTGCAGCATACGTGCGCATGTTACACAGTTACGAACAAAATCTTTGTACGATTTTTGGCTCAATAACCAGTATTTGGAACGTAATAGTTCAGTGTTAATTGAGGTCCACGTGCAGTGTTCTTTCATGGGCCTCCGTGATTTGAGATTGGTGAGGTGTGATTTAGAAGGCAATATCAACGGGTGCTTTAAGTTGTCACCAATGTTAGCTCTGTCAACGGCCACCAACTCTCAAATTTCTTGTCAAGGATTCAATGTGGTAAGTTTACTCTTCTTATTTACTGTTCCCTTCAACTTAAATCGCTATTTCTTGTGAAAAAATATTTCCATGACATTGTTTAATACAGGTAAGTAAATTCATTAATTCTCGACTAGTTAACCAAGTAGGAATTCATTTGTTAATTTTCTTAACTTTTGATAAATCTGTTACAATAAGCTAGGACTCGTAAAAGTTTCGTTATTGATGAATATTTGGTCCACAATTTCAATTCTATCTCTTCTACTATATGGTAATTTTCTTGCTTTTTTTCTTCTAAATTAGTGTCTGGTATGGGTTTTCTTTCTAATTGATAACTTTATTTTGTAGCCAGGGGACATTCTCCAATTTCCATGTTTACTAAAGCTAGGTGTCACCCCGAGAGGCCAATCCTGGTGTCGGTAGATGAAACATGTGACCACTAGTTCGTCCAAAATGTCTAAAATCTCCGAAACACGATTAGCAATGAAAGTTTTCCATCGACTGGGATGGCTACTTAACCAACTACACGTGGAATCAGTCCAACTAAGTTTATCCTTGGTACTCAGTTCTACTTCTTGATTGGCCAGTAAAACAGCTCCACACAGTTCGAGCCTGGAATACAAACTTGTTTGATTGGTGCTACCTTTGTTTTACGTTATCAGATGGACATGAAATTTCCAGAGCCATCAACTACCCGAGTAATTACACAGCATAAGCTTCATTTGAAGCATCGCTAAACCATGGAGTTCCAGTGTGACATCTGCTTTAGTACTTATCCAGCGTGGGAGTCGAAATTTAGTAATTCAGGAGTTCCTAGGTAAGTATCCAATAATCAAGTAAATTATTTGCTAATTCTTGATCCCATCCGATGCCTGAAAGCCACAATTTTTGTATTAATATTTTTGCTTTCACAATTGCTGGAGCTATCCATCCATTGGATCGTATAGCCTTGCAATATCCGATTAACCTTTCTTTTTGTTACAGGTATGCTGATCGGAGGTAATTGCACGGAGTATTCGAAGACGTCGTTTGTCGGTTCCAGGTAAGTCCTAAAATTTTAACTATTTCATTTGATTTCAGTTCTACTTAATATCTAAGTCAAACCTTCTTTATTTATTTCCTTTAGCAGATTTTCATCATTGCTTGACCACTTTTGGAGTTCGAAGCCGCCTGTCTTGTAGGTTGGTAATATCGTTAAATAATTGCTTTCCTTCTGAAACTGATTCACATCCAGTAAGCAAATTCCATGTAAAAATCCTTAAGATTTTTCAGATGCGACGGTACTCTCCTCCTTCATCGTGTGCTACCTCTGCAAAGTTCGAACTGCAAGGTAAGGAGCAGACGCAGTCCAAAAGTGACCGTAAAAGGCGAAGATGCTTAAATCTTCTGTAGTGTCTGTCGCCACACAAACGTTGATAGTCTACATCTTCTCTTGTTACCCTCACTTGACGGTACATTTTGATTATGTCGGCAACAAAAAATAGGATGTAGCCTCCATCTTAAAACATGTGACTAAGTCAGGCTGTACGGTCCGACCAAACTTTCAGTGATACCGTTTTGGTCTCGAAGGATGCATCGAAAACAATCTGAGTTTAGTCGTCATTTTCAGCTCTAACGACCGCGTGATGAGGTAAGTAAACCGTTTCTTTTTATCAATTTCTTCTATAGGTACTAACTCCATATGTCCCAATCAAATACTCTGATATTACATCTGTATTTTTCTTAAATCGGTATTTCAATAAACGCTTTTCTAACATTAAGAATCGTTTAATTGCTATCTCACGTGAATTACCATATTTGAGCTCGGATCGACATCTCTATGGGAGTTTAACGATATAACTTCCTGATGGATCTCGCTTCGTGGTTTCTTTATAGATGTCTTCACATCTTTGTTCTTCATGAGTGAGGTGAGTTCTTTTAAGGTTAAAGTTATCAGACTCAAGTTCCCAAAATTGTTTAAGGTTAAAATCATCATTGTTAATTTGAGTGTGCATTGTTAATATGTTTTCGCAACCCAAACCATGTTGGTCGTGATGATCGTTCTCGATTTTTCCAGATAAGATCCAACCTAGCCTAGTGTTCTGAGCTATTGGTGTTCCTGGTGGTCCTCTCATTAGACCCTCAGCTATGATTTGACAATAACATCAGCACCAAGCAACATATCAATATGACTTGGTTTGTTGAAATTTGGATCTGCTAACTTCATCCTTGGTAGATTTGGCCACAGATGGACGAATTCCTTACAGGGAGGAATGAAGTTAGTTTTTTAAGAACATGAGCTTTACACAATAGTAAATGTTATCTTGAATTATTGCAGATTAATCTGAACTACATCTTGGAATCAAGTGGGCATTGCCGTCCTCCAACTCAGATATGACACTGTTGCTTTTGATTTTCTTTAGCCCCACAACTGGACTCAGACTCGGTAATAAATAAGCCTTGAGCCCTGATCTAATAAGGCTCGCAGTGTCATACTGATCCAGAATTATTGTTGGCCCTTACGAGGGCTGTTGCCAATAAACTTGTTTTCTGGTATTAGTAAAACAAGTGGTAATATTTTCAATGTTGGTCTCGTCTGTCTCGATTTGTTGCCGTTGCAACAACATTGATATCTTCTGGTGATTGGTTGTTAGCTGATACATTTCTGTTGATACACTAGCGTTGTAATGCAAAAGTGAATGGTGTTTTCGTTTGCAAATCTTACACCTGGTGGGCAAACGACGCCTCAACCGAATGATTAGCACCTAAACAGTTGAAGCTAGGCGGAACTTTGAACAAACTCACGACGTGTTTTAAGGTTACCCTTAGCAAATTTCTTACAATTTCCTATTTTATGCGTACTATCTGAACAAAAGACACAATTTGATTTTTCCTTAAAAGTTACATGATGAGATTGAGTGCTTTTGACTGGTTTGTTTATTAAAAATTCAAGTGACCTAAACCTTTGCTCTAAAAATTCAAAAAACTGATTTAATGTTGGCAATTCATCTGTTAAATTACAAATTTTAGTTTCCCATAACTCTCTAGACTTAGTATCTAATTTTGAACTTAAAATATATAAAACAAAAATCCCAATTGTCAGTTACTATTCCTATATTTTTCAATGCATTTAAACATTCATTTGTGGTGTCTAGTAATTCCTTAACACAGAAGATTCGGAAACAATATTCTTTTGAGAAAAAAATCTTTTTAAAATACTATTTGTAATAAATTTCTTATTATTAAAACGTTGTTCCAACATACTCCAACATAGTTCATAATTTTCACTTGTAACCGGCAGATGTCGTAGTAACTGCTCGGCTTCACCGGTCAGGTAACTTTTGCACTGCTTGCAACGATTTGTTGCTGTGTATCAATGACTTAAACAGGTCACGAAACGTGGTCCATTGTGAATAGTGGCCAGAAAAAGTAGGTATTGTTATTCTAGGTAATTTTACTTCACTGTTAATGTTGCTTACTACATCACTCGTAACTATAGGGCTTTTTTAAATTTAGTAAGTTTTTCCTTTAAATCAATTTTGTATTCACTATATAAATCTTCCGTCTCTCCATATACATCTTTCAAGTTATACTCCATTCATCATAATCTTCCTCACCATAGTTACATATTAATTTATTGTGTGTCTCTTCAAATGTTGACCATTGTTTTTCTAATTGTTCCAATCTGGTTTCCAAATAACTTCCTGTAATTCTATCTTTTGGTGTTTTCTTAAAATTTGTATAAGCCCTTTTTAATGTTTTGTTGATATCTTTCTGTACTCTTATAAGTGATTCCATTTTGATCGCTAAGTGTTTCTAATTACACTTGTAAAATTTTCAAGTTCCAAATCGCAAATTATTCTAAGTGTTTGGTGTACCTAATAACTTCGACTTAGGCAAAATCGGGCATGGATTCCCCGTCTCAACCACTTTTGCCTTAATTATTCTACAAGTCCATGCCTTATGTTAATTTTTTCTATGTGTTTGGTGTAATAACTTCGACTTAGGCAAAATTGGACATGGATTCCCCGTCTTAACCACTTTTGCCTTAATTTTTCTAAGTTATTTTACCAGACTTTTAGAGTTCGAATTTGTTAGGCAAAGTTTTAAAGTACTTACAGTTTTAGTCACCTTTACACTTACACACACCACAATCACTTATTTTACACTTTTATACACTAACACTTTACACTAACACTAGGGTTTCCAATCACTCTGTATCCGGCTACGAATGACATGAACAAAACTCGACGATTCCAGGACGAAGACAATTTATTCAAAAAATATCTTAAACCTTATACTAAAACCACATACAACGATAGCGCGATTCAGCATAATGCAGAAATCGCACAGCGCCATCCGTTGGTGAATTTCAGAACTAAATACAATATTTATGTACATATTATTACGTTTGGACACTACCAATATTGTAATGTCTTGCATTTGTATCACAAATATAAATATAATATCATGCTGGTAAAAGTATAATTTAAACTTTTTCCTCCTTAGATATTAATAATGTTCTTTTACTTTTGACTTCTGTTTAGGTATAAATAATTATTTGCTTATCTGATCACACTTTTAAATTCCAAATTATTTGTTCAATTCGATAAAGTTCTATATAAGCCATACACAACTCGTTACTTCAATCCGTCATTATAAGAAAACACATGCGTGGTTACAGAGTAGTAGTCAACAACAAATTGAGGGAGCGCGAGAATGTGGTTTATTATGCTCTCGCCTTGCCTGCACACGAGGCGACACGAGTTGGTGCGTCCTAGGGATGTGACATTCTGTATAAAAAATCGATTTTTCAAAAAAAATAATCGATTTTTTTTATCAATCGATTTTTCCTAATTTTTGAATTCATTTCAAAATGAACACGTTACATATTTTATTTATCATGGTTTTATTCATTAAAAATAAACAATAGAAATTGTAAACACAAATTAAAGTTTTAGATTAATCAAAATCTAAATTAACCTAATCTCGTTTTGATAGATGAATTTATGCCTTTTTAGTACAAAAATCGATTTTTTAAATAATCGATTATTTTTTCACATCCCTAGGGCGTCCACGAGTCCACGCTGTCTCCTCGTGGAAAGTGTGGATAGAGTTTAACAATATATGATTAATAAATAGAATATGATTATTTTATCTGTGCTTGCGTTTATATTCATATTGCAGTTGCACGTCGGAAGCCTGTCTTTGTCTTTCAGTCTCACAAATGAGAATTCTGTGTAGATGTTAACTATTTTTTATTATTCTGCATACAACAAACAAATACTAATGTAAAGTCTATTTATTGATTTCTATAAGAAATTAAATACTTGTGTGATTCATATTAGTTATTACACAAGATTTATAGAGGTTTCACGTATCGAGTGACAAAGGTATGAAAGTTTATTAATTTAATTATTATCGTTTTCCTAGTAAGATAATTAATTCTAGGTATGTTTTTCAATTACTGTTGTTTCTATATATTTTAGTTATCTTTACAGATCACAAAGTAAACCATGTCTTTCCAATCTCCAATGCCAAGTAGAGAGTTCCTATGGGATATATTCAGAAGGTTTGTGGACCTGTTGCTTTCAATATTAATTTTTTATATAAGTTGCAGATAATTGTAGTTTTAACCTTCTAATATTTACAGAGTTGACAAAGATAGAAGTGGCCATATTTCAGCGGATGAATTACAGCAGGCTCTGTCCAATGGTACATGGAATCCATTTAATCCAGAAACAGTCAGACTTATGATAGGTAAGGTTGTGGTTATCTTAGGTTACCAAATGACTCATCCATATTTATTGCTTTATTTATGGTATGCTTATCTATTAGTGGTCAGATGAGAGAGAAAATATGTACTATATCAGTTTTACTTTACATTTTTTTAACCTTTTAGTAAAATATAATTTAAATCTATAGTTCTATTGAGACTGTTATTTGTGTATTTCAGGAATGTTTGATAAACAAAACAGGGGTGTAATATCATTTGAAGACTTTGGTGCTCTTTGGAAGTATGTCAGCGATTGGCAGAATTGCTTTAGATCATTTGATAGAGATAATTCAGGAAACATAGACAGACAGGAATTAAAGAATGCTTTGACCGCATTTGGATATAGACTTTCTGATGAAGTTGTTAACACAATGGTACAGAAGTTTGATAGATTTGGACGAGGCACAATTCTCTTTGATGACTTCATTCAATGTTGTGTAACACTCTATGTAAGTTATTGGGTCTTTTTTTAATAGACGATGAGACTTAGACAAAAATACTTTGCATGTTACATAAAATTTTAAGGTAAAAACATTAGCTTATGCTTTGTCACATGATCATTTTCATACAAATTTACTCAGTGGGTAAATTATATTTTATTTATGTGGTTTTCTTTTTGGTTACAACCCTAAGGTTCCAGCAACATGTCTGTCGCATTATCACTTATTAGGTTGTCTATTACACCATTTTTGTGCAATTCCTGCCATTAAATAAATGTGTGTAATTTTTTTGACTTCTCCCTTTGCTCTCTCTCTAATAGATAAATTATTTTTTCAGACTTTAACATCTTCATTCCGGCAGTTTGACACAGATCAAGATGGTGTTATTACAATACATTATGAGCAGTTTCTTAAAATGGTGTTTGGGTTAAAGGTATAAAAATGATTTGCCTTCTTTAATATTACTGTTCTTACGCTTTAAATGTGTAATATTTGAAATAAATTGTATTCTAAATGCATATAATCGAACAAGTCCTAAATATAAATTATATTTTAATGCTGTTATTGTAAATCATGCATTTTTATATGATTAAAATTGTCTAAATCTTGTTATACTATATTGTTACATCAGGTTTCTACCAAATACTAAAAGTAAAAAAAGAGTTTATTGATATATATTTCGTTTTCCGTCCAGTGCTGGCCGTAAGCATGGTGATTTTTCAAGGTCAGTTATCAAGAACAAGGTTTGGATGCAAGCCAAGTAATTAAGGTTTAGTTTGAACATTTTGTAGTTTTTAAAGAGCTATGCATGTTTCTTCTTCTTAAGTTGTAGTGTTTTCTAATTCTTGAATTGAGCTTCACTAGAAAGTTATTCCAAAAGCTATACTTGATTTTTATTGAGTTCTGTACTCTTAAAAAAATTGTTAATATTAATCATTCTGCCCACCTCAATTGCAAAGAGAATATTGCAACTGACTAACCAAGCTGTTTTACAATGTATAGTTATTTCTCTAGTTATACAATTGATGATATTTAAGAGCAAAAATAAGTGGTTGTAAGTTTTATTTGTTCTTAGTATTGAATATATATTATATTGGTAGTTGGTGAAATAATTTGTTGTTTCAAAAATGAAGAAATTTAAATGGCCAAAAAGTAAATGTAATGCTCAAACATTTATAAACTTAATGTATTGTAGCAGCTTGCATTTAAACTAAGTAATTCTTATTTATGTGAAATCCATTCCATTATATACATAACCATGTCTAAGCATAAATTTTTTACTCATTTCTATAAAACTTAATCTCGAAATATTGTCATATATTTTTGTCATGTTAGTACTTTTATAATATTCTAATAAATATTTATTTAAAAACTGCTTTATTTTTTAGACATTTATCTATTAAATGTAAAATGATTTTAAATTGATAATTACATTATAAAAATACAATAACATTTATCTTAAATTGTGCTCATACTAGGCTCTCTTCATTTTCCATGCTCCAATTTTATATTTTAACCATATGATTGCCAAATCACATCCCATTTGTATCCATGACAAGACAGGAGTTACTTTAGAACCATCTATTTCAGTCCAACGCACTGGTATTTCTACAATTGGAATGTTTAGTTTTTGTGCAATGTAAAGTAATTCTGCATCAAATGCCCTGAAACCAGAAAGTTATGTCAAAGCAAGAAATTTGTCAAAAATATTGAAAATAAATAAAAAAAACATTGTTTCTATAAACAAAAAAAGGTAAATTTTAATACAGAATTTGCATTAGATCAGGAAAACAATCAAATTAATTGGCTTCACACACATGCTCTTGAGATTACTTTATAGTTTACAAAATGATGCTCATGTAGGTATGGAATGAGGATAACAGTAAGTTATTTGATATGGTTTTAAACATCTTATCTCACTCTGTATCTTAACATTATTAAAATAGAACAAAAATAAAATAAACTTGCTTTTTTAAATTATGCAAAAATTATTATATTTACCATCTATTAACGTGTAGACTACCAAAGCAATTTCTTGCTGCTTGTCTTGTAAATAGTTTAAATCCACATTGTGTATCTTTTATACCTTTGACAGTAAATAACCACACAAGAAAATGGAAACCATACATTAGAATGTTTCTGTAAATATATGAAAATATATATATTTGGATAAGAGTGAAAAAAACTGCAGAGAAACACTGTAAATATACCTAAATAGACTTCTCTTAGCCAGTGATTCCTTTTCTAAATGTGCCCTTGATCCAATAACAACAGCCAAGCTGTTACTTGTTAGTTCTAATTCTGTATTTGAATTGCATTTTAGTAACTCATTTAAGGCAGTTTCAAGTTTATTCAAGTCTTCAAACTTTGATGCCCCATCTGCATCAGCAAACAATATTGAGGAACCTCTACAACTTAAAATTCCCTGAAATAAATTATTATATTTCACTAGTACTATTAAATAGTTTAAAGATAATTCAAGCATTCATTTATTATTACCAGTTTAACAGCACCACCTTTACCCCTATTTTTAATTAATTCCAAACATCTTATTTTTTCACACCCATATTTCTCAACATACTTTTCAGCAACATTAACTGTGTTGTCTTTACTTCCATCACTTACAACAATGATTTCATACTTGTATGAGGGTTGCTGTTGGGTTCTTTTTTCTAAAAACTCAATGGCTTCATCAAGCATTGGTGGCACTAAAATTTTTTTAAATTTGAGAATGATTTATTTGTTTATACTTTATTACCTTATTCAAAAACATACACATAACAAAAGTTATAATAAAAATATATATAACAAAAATTTAAAAGCCAATCAAAAGGTTAACTGAGAATAATTAATATAGATAAGCAGAGCTAATTAAAATTTAAATTACAAGGCAGAAAGAAAATGATCAAAAAGAAGCTTTTTAAATAAATTTAAAGACTGAGCTCTTCTAATATAAATTGGTAGGAAATTCCATAGCAGGATACTTTGCACAGTAAAGGAGGAGTGATAGAATTCAGTGTTATGAATAGGAGTTTGAAGAATTAGATTGTCTAAGGAACGCAAGTAAAAACTACCGCCAGAGAGGAACATAAAATTTTGCTTTAAGTAACTAGGAGTTTTAGGATTAAAAAGAACATTATAGAGAAGTTGTAAAATGTGCATCTTATGCCGCAATCGAATGGGTAGCCAATTAATCTTTCTTTGGAACTCCGAAATATGGTCAAATTTACGCCAATATGAATCTGATGCAAACATTTTGTAAGCGCTCTAACTTAAAAAGGCTGCAACTCGGTTAAATCTAGATAACACACATCAGCATAATCAAGAATAGAAAGTAAAAGAGTAACAGAAATTTTAGTTGAGATAGGCAAAAAATTGCGTAACCTATTAAGTGCGTGAAGAAGAAAAAATCCTCCTGCTCAGTTCGTTAATTTGGGGCTGCCAAGACAGGGTTGTATCCAAAGTAATGCCCAGGTTCCTAACAGTGGAGCAAAACGGAACAAAAGTACTATCTATAGTAATCTGGGATAAAGTTGACCAATTTTATCTCATTATATATGATGCACTCCCGATGATAATGGACTGGCTCTTATAAGGGTTTATCTGAAGACCATACGATTTACTACATTCAACAACTTTGTCTAAATCAAAGTTTGCCGTCTGAATAGCAGATGGAAATTCATTGAACATAGGTTGTAAATTTGAAGGTCATCAGTACAAAGATGAGAGTTGGAATCAAGTTGATTAGTAATAGAATTTATAAAAAGCAAAAAGAGAAGAGGAGAAAGGATACCACCCTGCGGTGGATTAAGCATTATTCAATTTATATTTTACAGCAGCATAGATGAAGTGAATATGGTTAACACAGACACCAAAATAATTTTTAATAATGAATCATTGTGTCTTACATCTTTCTTCTTCATTATAAGCAGGAACAATTACACTTAAATGAACAACTGCGGATTGTTCAAGGTGATAAAACCTTTTCCGTGACTTTGTTTGGGGATCATTAAATGTTTCTTCTTCTTTAAAACGCTCCACAGTAGGGTATGGTTTTGTAAACTTTAGAAGTAATATCACAACCTAATAAAATATTTTCAAATTTGAACATTTTATTTTACATTTAGTAGTAGCCTTAAAATTAAATAAAATGAACTTACTGCAACAAAACCGGCAAGTGTTGTGATGGCAGCGTACACAAATACGTAATACAAATGCGAGAAAACCCCCATTATAGCCTTTCAATACTTATGTTTATACAAACTATTGTTAAACGTATATGACTGACATTGTACCTCTTTACATAAAATAGTAAAATACGAAGCCTTGGAATACGTGTGCAAGCACTATTCAGCAGATAACATGTAAGCAACAGTATTATATTATAGAACTATTGATAGCTAATATTTAAAACTTATTTTTAATAGCTTTTATAGATGTCGTGAATATATATATTTTATCCTATAATAAAAATAAAGTAAACATTAAAATTATTTAGCAAACTGTAAGGAATTAGGAATTCCTATGGTTTCCAAATTCGATTTGACAACTGACAGTTTCTTGCAACACAATAGGTCTTGTTGTATTCATTTAGGTGTTATCAGACCATAAAATTAAAAAAATATCATTTTGGGGTTTCACAGTTGCTATATTTAATAATCATTTATGTCACCTGTGGTTGCGATTTGCGCCCGGTAATGAATCTATAATCTGTATCTAAACTTTACCTCCTTGTGTGAATTATCTATATTTGTGTTACAAAATATTGAAAATATCAAACATATCTAATACTTAGTGTTTGTAAAAGAATTTTTATACTAAATGTATGACAATGAATTAATTAACCATACGTGCCTTTTTTGTTACCGAATTAGCTACCACTTTAATACTTCATGAGAAACATTGTACCACGAACCTTTTGCTATTCATCATGACAAAACGCCGAAGAATAGTCCAAGCTGACAAAATAATACAGAATGTTGTACATGTATTTACTTTATTAATGTTCTTACAATTAAAAGGTAAGCAACTTTTTACAGGTAACCTTCACTATAAGGTTTCTTATTACAAAATTATTATCAAAAATTATATTTCCAGGCTTTTATTCTACATTGACAAATCCTGTATTACTATATTCAACTGCTGCTGACATAAGAGTTGGGAATCTTTCTCGGCTTATTAAAGCTAATCCAATAATAAAAGACTTAGAACAAGGATCAGCTGTTGATTTCTTACATAAAAAGAATCTTGTGTGTTGGTCGGACCAAAATGCAGAATTGATACAATGTATGGAATATAATGATACTTTTACTGGAGAAAAGGTTTGTCATGCTTATTGTTTAAACAACTAACCACTTTTAACAAAAGCATGAACAGTAAAAAAATCAATGTATATAAACTTAGTAAACAATAAACTATTTTGTTTTTGATAACCATGTCTTATTAAATTTATTACTCATTGCAGGTGAAAATAGTATCAGAGGGCTTAATTACTCCCACAGGTATTGCAATAGATTGGTATACAGATAAAATATACTGGACAGATGGAGAGACAAATAGAATTGAAGTGATTAGTATCAATGACAAACACAGAAAAGTATTGTTCTGGTCTGAAGTCGACTTGGCTATTGCAATAGCTGTTGTTCCTAAGTCAGGGTATGATTTTTATTTAAAATTTGTTTGTACATTTATTTAACAATGTTATGT